CTTATAGCTGATATAATAATCTAATAAGAGTGCATTGACGTAGATACGCTGTGCCTCTTCACCTACATTTTGGTGCTTGCTCTTTCACTTAAATCCTAAAAACTTGGATCTTATATTTAAAACTAAGGTTATTACTACTACTCATTCTTCTAAATCTTTTCTCTCTCTACTTCTCATACTCTCTACTCCTGTAATCTATTCTTTCTATCCTCTCTTTATCCAAAAACCTTTTCCCTCTCTGACCTTTCGAGGTTTTATTAGAGGGAAACAGGTTTGCAGAAAAGCTTATCCAGGCAGGGGAGTGTTATGACCGTATTCACAGCTTCCTCCCTACCTCTGCTAAATTTCAACTAAGGCTCCAGTGGGGACTTTGCTCCCTGCGTGTGCCTCTCCACCTCTGTTTCTTACTCTCTTACTTGCTACCCTTTTCCCTCAACCTATCCTAAGGGAGTGCTTGTTCTTCCTTCTGTCTGTCTGTGTCTGTGTATTCTCATGTTCCGATTAACCCAGCCTCCCCCAAATGTTCTTGTTTTGTGTCTATATCTACGCCGGGATCCGGAGTCGAGGCTGATCCTCTTGCTGTGGTCCTGTGCCCTGGATCCTCTATCCTGAGTTCTGGATTAAGTCGTGGACTTCGGGTCGTGGCTGGGCCTGTCTCTGCGGTCCTGCCTGGGTCTCGTCATACTGCTTCCCTGATGGCTTGTACAGGATTGTTGTTGACATCTTTGTGGATTCATCTTCTTATTATAGACACATGCATTTCCTAACATTCGGTCTACCTACCTACGCTGTAAAACGTATTATCTCATCGATTTACACACGGCATCTATTGCACGTCTATCCGTCCTGGGAGAGGGATCCCTCCTCTGTTGCTCTCCCTGAGGTTTCTCCCATTTTTCCCTTTAAACTGTGGGTTTTTCTCTGGAAGTGTTTCCTTGTACGATGTGAGGGTCTAAGGACAGAGGGTGTCGTTTTCTCATACTGATATTCTGAACAAACTGTGCTGTTGTATTTGCTGTAAAGTGTCTTTACTGTAGGGTATTTTTATTATATGTACAGCACTTTGGCTCGACCAAAAATCGTTTAAAAAGGTGCTATATAAATAAAACTTGATTTTATTTGATTTGATCTTCAGAAACCCTCCTGAACTCATCAGGTTCAACACAAAGCCTCTCATCTTATTTATCAGAGAAAGAAACCGAGACCAGCCATGTCGCTCCCAACCCAGTCTCACAAAAAATGTGTAATAGCTCCACAGGGCCTAACTGTTAAATGAATTAACTTCATTCTTCTCCCTATTTTACAGCACCCCAATTTGGTGATTCTAGCCAGTTAGGCATATTCACATAGCTTAGGTCAAGTGGTTTTATAACAATTGGTCCCATGTATGTAGTCCCTTCTGTAACAGAATGACACACACTTCACTGAAGCCAATGTTCAAAGGTTAACAGTTGAGAGCACGACCTGCTTATAATCTTCAAACTGACATGATGTTACTCTCCAGATTGAGACCTCTCCAACAATGTTTTGTGTTTACTCCTACGACCAAGTTTACATTTTGCCATTTCCTCCACACAGCCCCAGGGTTACTTTCCACTGAACCCCTTGGAGGCTCAACCTCAACAATACAACTATTACTTTGCTAATACTTTTCAAGTTCAAGACTCATGTAATTATCATAACCAAGCGAAATATGGACTATTTGAGGCTTAGGCATTGTATCATGCACCTGTATACACTTGTAACAGTCAAAGACAGGCAACTGAGGAGTTGGAAAGGTAGTTTCTGAAGATGTTACAAATAACACACAGCATACAATGCCATAATAACTTTGTATTTATTTGTGTAGGACACTTATGTATGTATAACATCTGAAGATGTGTAGTTTTATTCATGTTTTCACATAAATTTACAGGATATTGCTATATTATTTCACATATTGTAGTTCTACACATTAATATCTGATTTGTAAAACATCACTGACAGAAAGGTATATCCGTCATTTCATGGTAAGCTATTGAAATTCTGATTCCATAGATGTGTCTCCCATCACCCAAAACCTCTGACTATTCTCTCAACTCAGTATTTACATTCTTTAATTCAAAGAAAATCAGTAATATCTTTAAAAACTACAAGTCCGTTATGGTGTAAATATAGCCTATCTACCAATTGGATCAAATATAAAAGTCAGCCGAATTAGTATTGATACTGCAAGGAGACGTATTGTGTAAAGAGCAATTGAAGATGGTGTTTAATTGCTGATATATTTATGATCCACGTCACGTATTCAGTTTCGGTGGCAGTTCTTCCAGTTTGTCCAGAAGTCTTCTAATCAGTTCTAAATAAAGAACTACGGCAGATGTGTAATATTCAATGCAGCCGAACCGTGTACTACAATGCCGTTATGTGATGACTTTCAAAGAGAAAAGCAAGCACACGCGGAATAAAGTATTATTTTCTTATTTTTTTAAAAATGTTTTCGGATTTCATATCGCATAAACACCATATCCCAACGTGCATTGCGGCTAAAACATCCAATCACCGAGCTTCAACGATAGCTGAGGATTATAGTTAGATGTTTTAGCCTATCAAAACCTCTGAAAAAAGAAATGTGTCTCTCAGAAGACACTGCTTAATTTTTAGCTCCCGATAGCGATTGGAAACCAACCCCCTTAACTCGCCAAGTAATATACAAATCGATGTAATTTTATTGGAATGAGAGGGGGAAAGAGAACTAGAAGTTGTAAGAAATTAAAATCAACGTTGAATGACGTAATTTAGTTTAAACATACAGTAAGCTTAAAACTGTTTTATTCTGAAAACATTTCCGGTTAGCATTCGTCTGTGGCTAACGTTGTTGCTAAAGTTTATTTTGAAAAGCTTTACCGGAAGAAGTCTCTGGAATATCAACAGTGAGCTTAACTTCCGGTTTTATGTTAGCAACGATTACAGCCGTTAAAATGCATTAAATAAAAAGGGTCCATGAGGAGAAAAGGCGTGGAGTTATGCAATAAATACACAACGTCTAAATCCTCTGTTATGCGCGATATCGGACATTGGAGAAAGGAGGGCGGAACCCCACGTCACAGCCCCCAGAGAGGAGGAGCGAAGGGGAGATGCAAGCGGGAAGAACCAACGTGTCTCGGCCTCAGCAAAGCTGTGGCTCGCAAACCGGAAAAGAATGCACCACCAAGGTCCATAGTGGTGAACCTTCTGGAGTTTACCACCAAATAAATGGTACTGAAAAAGGCCTGGGAAAAGAAGATACTGATGGAAGGGCGACGTCTATCGTTCGATCACGACTATGCAACGGAGGTCGTCCTGAAGCGCAAGGCTTAATAATAAAGGAATAAAGAGGGTCCTTAATAGCAGTTATGCTTAGGGTTCTTCAATTCTGCAACCAAGGACTTTCTTTTCGTTCCTGCTCATAGTTTGTCCGGTCAAAATGGAAAATATAAAGGGATTTCTTTCCTTGCTTGATTTTGTCTGTCAAAAGTGCAATCGTTGAGCGCATTGCAGTGGTCATTGATTGTAATTCTCCTTCAATGATTTGAAGCATGCTCTTGGTAGCTTTGTCATGGATGTTATAATGATGACCGTACGAAATTTCAGTTCCCATGGTTCAGGTACGCGCTTATCCGAAAGTGTTTCCAAGGGCCTCTTGGTGGCATCCTCGTTCATGAGTTGATTGATGCTTGCCTCCTTTGGTGAATAAAGGCTGGCTGTTATTGAAAATTCTCCCCGTCGGGGAAGCGAACCCCAGTCTTCTGCGTGACAAGCAGAGATACTGTCCACTATACTAATGAGGAATGCTCTAGCAGCAATCCTAGCACGTCAATCCTAGTTGGCGCTCTTCGAGGGGTTACAGGTCATATCCAGGATAGCATTTGGGTTCAGTATACAGTTGCTGTCACGAAAGTCCATGACGCTGCAGCTGTGACTGGATCCAGTGTAAAATCTCTCAGAGTCTCAGAAATCAACATGTGGTCGGTCGTATTGAAGGTTTACAATTAAATATCAATGTTGCATCTACGCGCAAACGTGTACTTAGCTTTCCAGCAGTTTCTGCAGTGTAGTGGTCATCACGTTTGCCTCACACGCGAAAGGTCCCCGGCTCAAAACCGGGCAGAAACACTCTTCTTTGATCCTGATCAACTTCAAAGAACTCAACCAAGAAGAGTTATCGGGAATCTAGATAGAGTAAAAAGCACTTTCAGAAATATGGCAGTTGAATGTTGAGTCTTTTCAAGACAATTGTTGGATGAGCAAGACAATTGTTTGTTGAGCATGGCTTTTGAATTGTACGGCTTTGGCTCTCCGTGTATTCAAATCGAAGAGGCATGTCGTCCTGTGAACAACTGAAGGTTGTTAATAGCAGTTATGCTCAGGGTACTTCAATTCTGCAACCAAGGACTTTCTTTTCGTTCCTGCTCATAGTTTGTCCGGTCAAAATGGAAAATATAAAGGGATTTCTTTCCTTGCTTGATTTTGTCTGTCAAAAGTGCAATCGTTGAGCGCATTGCAGTGGTCATTGATTGTAGTTCTCCTTCAATGATTTGAAGCATGCTCTTGGTAGCTTTGTCATGGATGTTATAATGATGACCGAACGAAATTTCAGTTGCCATGGCTCAGGTACGCGCTTATCCGAAAGTGTTTCCAAGGGCCTCTTGGTGGCATCCTCGTTCATGGATGTTATAATGTGGTCGGTCGTATTGAAGGTTTACAATTAAATATCAATGTTGCATCTACGCGCAAACGTGTACTTAGCTTCTTGGTGGCATCCTCGTTCATGAGTTGATTGATGCTTGCCTCCTTTGGTGAATAAAGGCTGGCTGTTATTGAAAATTCTGCCCGTCGGGGAATCGAACCCCAGTTTGCCTTCTGCGGGGGAGCGCGTATAGTAAGGTCTAACTCTCTTAACTTTACCATTCATTCTCTATGGTAGTTCTTACACTGTGACTGTAATATATTTCTGTCCACAAGCGAGAAATTGGGGGCGCTGTTGCGCCCTTTTGGTAGAAGTAAGGAGACCCCGTTTCCAGTGACAGAGAGTGAGAGACGGAGCAACAGCAGCAGCGTCTTCCAGATAGAGACGACATTCGCGACACAATTCGACTTCTAACATCACGTCAAACTTATCAATCGTAAGTGGGGCTTATTTTTCTAAGACTGAATTAACACTTATCATATTGTTACACTGTTTTTTGCAATAGTTGTTAGTTGTTTGTTTGTCTTTAACTCTGTGTGTCTAAGGTACTGTAACTTTTGTTAGCTAACGTTACACTAACGTCAGTGGCGGCCGGTGGTCTTTTTTTTTGGTGGGGCTCTTGACGTACCGAAAGTGACCTACCCGGGGGGTCCGGGGGGTTTCCCCCCGTAAATTTTTTTCGAGAAATGACCCCTTAAATGATGACTTCTGGTGATGTTAGAGGGGGGGGGGGAAAGGAGAAATCGAGGCTTAAAAATATGAGAAGACTGATCAATACCTCCATAATCTTCAGTGTGGAAAATATTATTTATCAACCTGAACATCTACTACTTTACCAGGAATTTGTGTTCTCAGAACTGGTCTGTTTTTTTCTTTCTTAAAACTGTTCATGTTTTATGAACCAACACCTCCACCAAGTAGCTTTACAGTGAACTGCATGTGGGATATAAAATTAATAGCATCTTTTCAGTAGCATTAATTATAAATATTTAAGTGGTTCAATACAAGTCACTACAGCATTTCAAACTGAACTGTGAATAAATGCAATTTAAAAAAAATAACCACAGCACAAAATGTCATAAATTGTGTTTTTTCTTTGTTTCTCTGAGGATTATTTACAAACAGGCTTATTTACATATAGCAATAACTCAGAAATGAAAAAGCTACATCGTCTAACACGAACAACCAGTTAGCATAATGATAATATATGTGTTATGTACAATGTAACTGGCAAGGCTAGAGCAAGAAAGAACATAAAGTTTGCAAAAGGTTTAAATAACTTCAAGTATCTGTCTTCAGATTACGTGGAGGTTTTAGTCCGATGGGAAGCAGATTTTAAGCGACACCGAAGATAAACCAAAAATGTGGTGGAGCTGCAAACCGTGTAGTGTTGCTGGGACAGGACAGGAGCTATAACCGTTGGAAAATACATCACAGACAATGCAACAAACGTGGAGACAGAACAATCACTTCTGTGATAAATGCCCACTTATTAATAAACTTCTAACAACCATGGGAAACCTCCTCTCTACATATAAAGTGATATCCAAGCATGGGAAACAAAAGACAGCATTTACCTGTTTGCATCCAGCTAGCCAAGCCTTTTTTGTGAACCAGCTACTTGCGAAGCCTCGTGTATAAGTTTTGTCTTTTTCACGAGATTGCTGCGATATATTCAAATCGGGTTGGTCCGGTCCAAGGTCTTTAAGCAACAATTTATCTGCCAAACTTCTCCTTTCGAAAGGATTGGAGATTAGCTCTTGAACAGAATTAGGCGGGGACCGAGGTCCGGAGACTCCACCTGCACACGAAGCCATCCTCATCAACTACTGCGTCAACCGGATACGAGTCACTGTCCAAACTACTCACAGACTGCACGGGGCGCTGACATTGGCGCCCCGTGACCGTCATATTTGACGACGCTGATTGGCTGAAATTATGTTTTCGCTGCATAGTTTACACGTTACAGATAGCAACAGTCAGCTGCTAGTGGCTGCTGCTGCACTGGTTGAGGGCTCCTCTCTTAGCGCCCCAGACGAGAGAAGGTACACGGGCAAGGCCAGGCAGGAAACATGTGACTTATCAGTAACTTTAGACATCGTAACACAATTTTAAACGAGATTTTATTGTAGATTATACATTTTACTGATACCAATTATATAATATTTACCTTGTTCATTAAAAATAAAAATAAAAATATATATATTTTTTAAAATATATTTTTTATTTTTATTTTTATTTTTTAATATGGGAAGAGGTGGGGCGGCGCCCCTAGCGCCCCTATGGACCGGCCGCCACTGACTAACGTCATGTATTTACAGTAAATGTCAGCGTTAACAGCAGCTGATTTATTACTCATTACACATGGCAAAAGAGCTGTCAAATGTGTTTTACAGGTGTATCTTGTTAACACTGATCCAAAATACTGCATTATTATTGCTGCAGTTCTTAATCGGGTAAATACTACAGTATTCAGTCTTAAAACTTTTTTTTTGCTGTCTTCTATTGTACTTTTGTTATTATTTTATGGCTAACGATGTTACCCATCTGCTTTTCAGTCTGTCTGTTCGTGTAATAGAGAAGTTGCTACCTAGTCATTACAAATCCCAATTAATGTAAACATGAAATAAAGTGAGTTCACTCACATTGACAGGGCAATACATAACACATCTTCCTGCCCACCTGCCCCTCTGTTTGTTTGTTTGTCTGCCTGTCTGATCATGTAATATAAATGTGTTACCTATACAAATCCTGGTTAACGTGAATGAATGAAATGAATAACTGCTAATATAACAGTATGATGATTTTTGCACTTCTTAATATATAGACTTTGCATTGTGTTTTGTTGTGTGCAGGAGATAATGAAGAAAACCATATTCTTCCCAGGAAAGATGAGAGTGTCTTTCAGGAAGGGTCCATCAGAGGAGGGTATGAGAATTAAAAAAAAATCCTTCCCTTCAGGACAAGTCTGCCGCTCAGAAGCATGAGCATGTGAGGACAAATGCTCTCACTGAGGTCTTTCAGAGGGGAGGGGATGTATCCGACCGACTCGAGGTGATGGGGGAGTACGTGCTACAGTTCGGAAAGTATAAGGGGAAACTGTACAGGTGGCTCCTAGAGAATGACGTCGGCTACACCCTCTACCTGATGGACAAGGTGGACGAGGAGGAGAGAGGTGGGACCTTCAACCCCCAAGGGCCTAGCAAGGACAGCCTGCTGTCGTTTCTGGACTACGCCAGGAGCTTCCAGGAAATTAAGGATCTGAGGAAGTACCTGTGCTCCAGGAAGCCTGCCCCACCAGTGGCGTCAGAGGGGGAACATACTGTCGGCTTTGGAGCCAGGGCCAGAGACACCTGGAAGCAGATCTGGGATAGCAGGGCTGATGGTTATGCTGCCTTCGTTTTAGGAGTGAAGTGCATCACCAACAGCAAGATGTACAACCTTCAGCAGTACATCCTCAAGCAGCAGAGGGCTGAGCCCTGTCCACCACCTGCTGAAGGCTGCATTGCATCAGCTACCTCCACTCTGACATCCAGCACTCCAGGTCAGCTCACAGTAATATGCAAATACTGCTTTAAGGTGAACATGACATTGACATAATTCATGTTATTGTTTAATCTCCTAGTGATGGAGGAGGACGAGGAACTGGAGAGGGCGATGTTGAATCTGTCTCCTTCAAAACTCTACACTGAACGAAGTAGGTGGATCCAGTTAGATATACAGTGATTATACAAACTTACTGTACATGTTAAAACTTTGTTCATTGTCACCTGTGCTTTATAGGGCCACCAGCAGCAGTCTCCAGAGCCCCGGCTGTGTCTACACCAACAGGTTTCTCTCCAGCAGTGTGGAGGGATAACTCTGTGTTCAACAGATTTTCCCTGCCATTACTATTCTCAACTAGTTTGTTATTTTGGCCGTGTTCCGGTCTGTTCTGATGCTTGTGTTATTCTGTTCTCCAACTAACATGTCAGCAATGATGGTAAGTGTTTTTCCTTTTTTGCATACTTTTTTTAGACTGTCATACAAGGATTTGGCATTTTAAATATTGGCTTAGGAAACCTAGCTTCTTACCCTCTAAGATATCATGCCACACCTTTGAATGAAAGATGTGCTTGCTATATATGTATGCTGTTTCTCTGCTTTACCTGTTTCCAAACACATAGAGACATTATGTTTTTCTATTTCAAATACTTGGGATTCACAAGTTAATACAACGGGGTATTTTCATTCTGTTAAAGAGACAACGGGTAAAGACAGATTGTGAAGCTTGAAACAACTTAACACTTGAGGAACATGACACAGGATTGTTTCTACAGCCCACAGGACTTATCCAACTGCCACTGCCACTGTGTCCAGACCCGATGGACCTGCTCCTCTGAAAGGTTATTGGGTTTTTATACTCCTCACTTGGATCCATCTTGAATCTTTTTCATACATATTATGTATATATACCCTCATGTTTGCCTTTCATCCTTCAGCCACAGTGAAGGCACCGCTGCCGGTCCCTCCTCAGCTGCTCGCCATTGCCCCAAAGCTCGGGATAGAAGAGCAGGCGCCAAATGTGTTGAGACAAAGTATGTGTTCTTCTTATACTACCAGTGTATCTCACAAAATCTTCAATTTCATTCTGACAAATCACATTGTCACGGTGTCATACAGTATAGTGCTCACGTTTTAGGTAAAGTTAAGTAATGATATCATCGTCTCTGTTTTCATTTATTCACAACTTCTTAAATGCTGCTTCTTAATTTCGATGTATAATGTGTATACGTCACTTGCCTGCTTGTATCTCATCATCCCAGATTCATCACCACATAATATGGCCCCTGTGGAAGCGCAGGGAGACACTGTCCTTGATGAAGGTATGGATATCTGTGACACTGTATTATAGCAGTCATCTATATAGAGCTTTATTCAATTTTATCTGATGTAACTGTGGTGTTTTACTGTGTCTTACAGCTCTGACTTGCCCAGTGCCTCCTGTCCCCTTAGCAGCACCACACCAGCCTGCAGCCTCTGTCCCGGGCTATAATGAGGATGTTGCCAACTGGAACTGCTCGCACCAGCAGAAGATTTGGATGAAGACTGAGTTGGAAACATTGGGTCTGTGGCCAGGTTCACGTCCAGTGAGACATCTAATGAACATGTTGTCCCTGTGGCGTTATCCGCCTCAGCCTGAGCTCATAGACTCGATATCTGACCTGCCTTCACCCAATTTTTATCAGCTTCATCCATATTTCATTTGGAAGCCAGAGTACGCGATCATGGAGAGGGTGAGAAACAACTTTGTTTTGCCCTGTCTCTATGGTTGTCCGAACCCTCAGGTCGTTTCTTCTGGCATTGGAAGGCCAAGAGTCATCCTTGGGACAAGCGGCCAGTACTATATTTTGGCTTTGCGACTCACCTGCAAGGTCTGCAAAAAGTACTGGCATGCTGACAAGCCCCAGTGGCTGGAGAAGCTACCCCAGCGTTTCAGCAACATCGTGCCGGCCTTCCTGACTCACAAAAAGGCAGTCTGCAAATCTGTCCTGGATGAGATGAGGCGCAGCGGCAGATCACCAGAGGACATGTCCAAGCAGCTGACGGAGGCGCTCAATCTGAAATATGAGAGAGCTCATCTGGCCTACCTGCTGTGTGTGCAGAATGTCAGGGATGCTGAGGCAGGAGTCTACGGCCAAAGGACCATCACTGGGTTCCTCAGACAGGAAGATACTCCGGCTCCATTTGGTGGATACTCGGATGGTGATGGCTGGTGTGGAGTTTCTGTCTCTTCCCACTACCTGGTGGAGTGCCTGGTCCGTGAGTATCAGCGGCAGGAGGAGCTCCTTACTCTGCTGCTTCAGGGGACCTTTGGTCAGGCACTGAGGTCAGATCACACTCGGAGAGTGGCTAGGAAGGTTGTGCTGTCGTCCGGCACCATGTCTTCCTATGCCATCATGAATGAGAACTGGATGATCCTGAGCTGGGTGATGCTGCAGTCAGAGTGTGATAGGTCCCTTAACCCGTTGTATGAGTGTCTGTCTCAACGCTACACTGTGGCTGGAGTGGAGAAGGCACGCTACCAGTGGGTGGACAGGTATAAACAACAAGTTTCAATTGAAAACAGTTGATTCTTTTTTTTTAGTTGTTTTTTAATTGTGCATTTTATTCTGTAATCTGACTCTTCATAAATATAATACACATGAATAGTTACAGTTAATTATTACACTAATTTTGTACGAAGATATTGTACAAGGTTTATAGCTGTAATGACATTTCTTTTTAATGCTTTAGGGACTGCTGCGCTGCCTTCAAGGTCCTTCAACCTGGGGCTCAGCTGGAGGACCACAGATGCTATCCTGGCAGAGGCCACCTCTGGAAATCTCAAGAACATTTGCGCATCAAGGAACAAGTTTAACAAAGACATTATTGTCAAGTTGGACTTGTTTCATTGTATGCGGCGGTTTACCAGGGAGTGTGTCTCCGAGCATCATTCTTTGTACAGCTCCTTCTGCCAGTTCCTCTCTGCAGCATTCGTTGTGGTGGACCACAGCGATCTCCAGAAGCGGAAGGAGGCGTACACGTTCTGCAGAATTTCTCCTGCTAACCCCACCAAGCAGCACATAAGAGAGCACTGCAGGACAAAGGTGCCACAGCCAATGGAACTGCTGCAAAGAGTGGAAGACGTCCTCCATCACTATTACATGGCAAAGGATGCCAATGATTTGCTCCTTTTTAAAGACTCAATGTTAAAGGTGTGGAGGATCCAGCGCATCCACATCCTCCGAGGCTGCCTGAGCGACCCTGAAGTGGGAGAGGGAATCCTCTACAGGTATGGTGGCACCCTGCAGCTGAATTACAACAAGGGCGAGGGAGCTGCCGTGCCTGTGTGGATCCCTATGAGAGGCACCTCTCAGCAGGAGGGTTTCCACGGACACCAAGCCCAATGGGTGACAGGCAACCGGGTGTCCTGTGAACTATTCCAGGCCCAAGCTATGACTGGAGTTGTGCGCTGGAACTACCAGAGGCTGGTGGACCTGAAACAGCCAGATGTGGAGCTGCCAGCCGTGTTTGACCCCCGGTTGATTTCAGAGCTTAACACCATCTCTGTAAAAGTCACAGGAAGGTCCAAATACCCAGCACTGCAGCTCTCCAACAGGGACACGGGGGAGAGATTTGGACTGCAGTACGTGGAGCCAGGCTGTCGTCCTGTTGTTTTGAACTGGGACAAGAACAGGGCACAGCCAAACAACCCAGCGGCAGTAGCCATGGAGACAGAGCATCATTGCCCTGCCCCTACTGTTGTAGTGGGCACAGAATCTCAGGTAATCCAGTTCATATTTATATCTACTTACTGTCAAGTACTGACAGACTGGCTGACTAACTAATTCACTATATTTGTGCTATTTCAGGAATCCTCTGCTGATCCAGTTGGGGCAGTGCCAATTCTGTCTTCCAGTTCCCGGCAGTCCTCTGATGTTGTGACCAAGTCCCTGCCGCCTTTCACACAAGCCTCTGCCACACAAAAACCAGAGCCTTTGATAGATACAGGTCATTCTAATTACCTACCTACCTCACTGTTAAAAACAGGCGTGCACATAATATATGTAATATCATCATGTTGAAATATTGTTTATTAACAACAATCATTAAGCAAGTGTATGCAAAATGTAAAAGCCATTGAAAAGCATAATAGAACAAGAGGTAGGAATATAAGATAATCATTTATTTGTCCCACAAAAGTTACATTAGCTGTGAAGTGAAATGACTAAAAGAGCTAATTGATTTGCAACACACTGGCATAAAACAATATAATTAACATATATTTCTTTTTTAGACTTGACAGGGGTAGCACCGCTGCCTCAGTCCTCCTCTCCTCGAGCCACCCGCACTGGACCAATTAAAACTGGTGGCCTCATTCAAGTCTTGGACCATGGTCGGTGGACAGAACCCATGAAAGCTGCCATCGACGAGCTTCTGGTAAACCACCGTGGTGCCAAAGATGTCCTGAAGCGGGTGGATGCGGACTACGCTGCCATGGTCCAGAGGGGATGCACAGACCGGAACAGCCTCCTTCACCCGACCACAGTCCAACATATCTCACGATATGTTAAACATCTGGCAAAATTAAAAAATACCAGCTCTTCCCTCAACACATCCCCAGAAAAGGTCTTAGAGACACAGCAGCTGTGGCATAGTTTGACCTCAGGCAGCCAAACTATCAGTGTGCCTGTCATAACTCTGCCACCTGCCATATTCAACCCTCCAGCTGTGGCTCCCAGACAGGAGGACTCACTGAGCAGGGCTTCAGTGGAGAAGATTGTGGCAGACGTCCTGGCAAATCAACAGCAGCCGCAGCAGCAACAACAGCCTCAGAAAAAGACGCTGATGAGAAACTGTTTAGCCTGCGGTCAGCCTAAATCCCGATATCTTGGGGATGGCTCTTCAGTGCATTTTTTTTACCAGTCAAAAACGGTAAAATACTTTTACTGCTCCACCAAGGTCTTTAAGACCTATGCGAAGGAAGGCCTCAAAGACACCAGGATGTCTTTTGAGAACTTTGCTGCAACTCAGTTTTTTGAGCGAGAGCTGGAGGCTGCCAGACAGAGGGGGGCAGAGTGGAGAAAGGTTGCAGAGGAGAGAGGGAAGAGGAAGGCAGCTGTGCAGCTGCCAACAGGCCGTCTCTGCAGGTTTTGTCACCAACCACTGAAGCAGAGTCCCAACAGCCCTCATACCCATGCATCCTTCCCAGGGGTTCCAGGGAAGTACATCTACTGCCCCTCCAGAGTCTTCTCCTTATATAATGCACAGGGCATGGAGAAGGAGATGACATGGCGGGAGTTCCAGCAGTCGGACTTCTATGATGTTGAAAGGGACAGATGGATTGCAGACAAAAGGAAGCCCTAACCTCCCCTCACATACACACAGGCACGCCACTTCCTGGGTCTACTAAGTTGCATACTAACTTAACATACAAACTAAGACGTTTTGCCTGCAAGAAAAGCGAGACCCCTAAACTATCAGCCTTTTCACCAGTCCTGACAATCCTGCCGATAACAAAACAGTTTTGGTTAATGCCCTCAAAAAACTCAATTCATAATAAAGAATAATAATCATTTCAGGGATTTCGATACAGTAGGTCCTCCACTCCAACCTTGTCTGTGCTGGGGCCTTAAACATGTAATGTATTTAAATGTTGCACTAGAATATTATATACTATACTAGAATAAATAAATGGATCTATATCTACATCTATAACAAAACAATACACTATCTTAGACTAAATTATAATATTATAATAAATATAAAGGTGCAATATAACCTATCATATAGTCAAAATAGTACAAAGAATATAATATAGTTCAATCCTTTTTTCAGGATATGATTGTTCTCTCTGTATTGTGTTTTCAGTGTTTTTTATATATTTGTTGTTCTATTTTTAATATTTCTGTTTTTGAATAAATGATCTTGAATGCATCACTGTGGCTGTCTTTACTTGATAGAGGAAGTAATAGTGATAGAAATGAAACAATGAAGCACACTCATATGCTCAATGTAAACATCTGTACAATCAACATATTTAAAATATTAATTATAAGTAAAAATACAAAGATATGATATAAAACATTAGTATTACTAATATTAAGATATCATTATTTGTGGTATTATTGTTATGATTGCTATATATTAAGGTTAAAATAACTATTATAAGAAGCAGCAAGGAAAGAATAATTCATTTCTAACTCCAAATATCAGTTTCAACTCTAACTTTAAACGTTTGAAAAGATAAATGTAGTGTTTGTGTATAATGAGCAACATTTTGAAACTGAATGTGGGAAATTTTGTTTGGGTCAGGTGGGTTTCGAACCGTCGTTCTTTTGAAAAGGCTTCTGGCCAATAGAAAGTCTTCTATGGGTATACACGGCTCAGAGAAGTGATAGAGAAAGCCTCCACCACCTTCCCCAACAGCAGAGTGGTCATGTCAACCCTGCTACCAAGGAAAGACCTCCACCCCGACACCATCCACAGGATCAACAGCAACATGTCCAGAGACTGTATCCTGAGGCCCAACGTCCACCTGGCCCACCACCCCACCCTGGATATCAACTGTCTATACGACCACGTCCATCTGTATAAAAACACAGTCCCCATCTTCGCCCGGACACTGAAAGACGTCGCTCTCAACAGAGACCAATCCACACCCCGCAGAAGGAGCAGCCCGGCTCAAAACCCCCTTAGACCGGAAAGGCACCCCACTGGACCACCACCCAGACAACACCCATGGAGACAAGATCATCCTCATCTTCTTCCACACCATGCCCCACTAAGATCCCACCAGGGCAGCTATGATTACCCTCAAGCAAGGCCAGAACCACTCCTGTCCCCAGGGATCCTACCCCTACCTTAGTAGTGTGTGAGGCCATATGTACAGACATGTACATGGGACATGAAAACAGTGCATCTCATATTGACAAAAAAAATCGTACTAACCGAGTTTTCCAAATCACTCTAAAAATAAGCCGTTGTGATACACGTGTAGACAACGTCTGCAGAATCATAAATGATCATTACAATGGGGTCATTAAACCATTATTTCGCTAAGATAAAAAACATTAAAGTTTTGGATTTTAGTGTAATTAACTAATGTTCCACCAGATGGTGCCACACACACCCAGGGGGAAAAGATAAAATATTAATCCAGGAATAAGTGTGCAAAATATGGGTACATTAGTGTTTAAAGTCGGGGGAACTGTTTTAATTCAGGACCAGGGTGAAAAGATAACAGATTTACGCAGGAATAAGTGTGCAAAACATGTGTACATTAGTGTTTAAAGTCGGGGGAACTGTTTTAATTCAGGACCAGGGTGAAAAGAAAACAGATTTACCCAGGAATAAGTGTGCAAAACATGTGGACATTAGTGTTTAAAGTCGGGGGAACTGTTTTAATTCAGGACCAGGGTGAAAAGATAACACATTTACCCAGGAATAAGTGTCTGAATCATGGGTACATTAGTGGTCAGAGTCGTGGGACATTTTTTAATTCAGGAGGTTTTAAGTGTGGTTTCACTTGTAGCACACACCCAGGGGGGAAAAGATAACAGATTTACCCAGGAATAAGTGTGCAAAACATGTGTACATTAGTGTTTAAAGTCGGGGGAACTGTTTTAATTCAGGACCAGGGAGAAAAGATAACACATTTACCCAGGAATAAGTGTCTGAATCATGGGTACATTAGTGGTCAGAGTCGTGGGAAATGTTTTAATTCAACAGGAGAGGGTAATTCACTTCTTAACCAGTGAACAGGGCTGCAAACATGGCTACATGAGTGTTAAAATACTGTCAAACTGTTTTAATTCAGTCATAATAATCGTTTTTAGACAGTGTACATTGGACGCAATAAACATACAGAGTTATGGACATAAACGTGTCAGTATAGACGGGAAAATGTACATATTAATCATATTTATTTTGTTAAATGTACAAGAAGCTAAAAACAGCAGAATCACTGCTTTAAGCAGGATATCACACTCACAGGCAGACATACACACACCCAGGGGGGAAAAGATAACAGATTTACCCAGGAATAAGTGTGCAAAACATGTGTACATTAGTGTTTAAAGTCGGGGGAACTGTTTTAATTCAGGATCAGGGTGAAAAGATAACAGATTTACCCAGGAATAAGTGTGCAAAAGATGGGTACATTAGTGTTTAAAGTCGTGGGAAATGTTTTAATTCAGGAGGTTATAAGTGTGGTTTCACTTGTCTCACACACACCCAGGGGGAAAATATAACAGATTTACCCAGGAATAAGTGTGCAAAACATGTGTACATTAGTGTTTAAAGTCGGGGGAACTGTTTTAATTCAGGACCAGGGTGAAAAGATAACACATTTACCCAGGAATAAGTGTCTGAATCATGGGTACATTAGTGCTCAAACTCGATTATAATGTTTTAATTCCGGAGGTTTTAAGTGTGGTTTCACTTGTCCCACACACCCAGAGTGAAAAGATAACATGTTTACCCCGCTAAAGTGTTCAAAACATGGGTATATTAGTGCTCAAACTCGATTAAACTGTTTTAATTCCTGAGGTTTTACGTGTTGGTTCACTCGTCTCACACACCCAGAGTGTTAACAACATTTTTACAAATTTTATAAATTAGTCTAGAGCTCCATCTATTGTAATTTGAGTGTATTACACGTCTGTCCATGGAACGCGAGTTTTGCGCCATTTGAGTGGAGTAAATTCATAGGCAGCTGGAGTAACATGTAAATTGAGACGCATTGGGACATATCATCATCACTTTCAATGTTAACCTTGTACATAGGGGGCACAATTCGCTTACCCAGAGGTCGATGGATCAAAACCATCCTCTGCTAATTGTAAATGCTTTGGATCAGCAGATTCTCTCCGTCCATTTTAACCCTGTTCACAAGGCCATATTTACATAAGACGATGCATCCGTTATCTCAAGTGCTAAAGTGTAGCCGATGCAAACGTTGCTGCGATAATCAACCTACAGTCCTCCAATCTTCCAACTGAGCTATGGAGGTGTGCATTCAAGCTTAAATTGTTCAGCCTGTGTATTGATGCGGAAAGTAATCATCAAACAACAGTTGTCTTGCAAAGCTTCAACATTCACTCGTCTACTTACCCTGGCTGGGGAAATTGTCAAGATTTGGGAAGAGCCCTTTGAGTAACTCGAGGAGCCAAAACAACACATCTTGGGCCGCAGCCAGGTATAGGAGAGGTGTGGTCTGTTGAGCACAACATTGCCTCTCTGCTCATTTCAAAGGATATTGTTCTGTTTGTTTCAACCAACTATGACCTTGGCGCATACTGGTGCAGTTTGCAGTTGAAGGTGAAGCGGTAGAGAGATGAGTTAGTTACGTGTCTGAGTCTCTGTGTAAAGATACCATCTCTTTGTATACTGTGTGGACATTTGTGTGGTTCCATGGTGTAATGGTTAGCACTCTGGACTCTGAATCCAGCGATCGGAGTTCAAATCTCGGTGGAACCTTTCGCTGAGTACCCTGAAAAAAGCCAGCTTCTACATCTCAGTTGTAGCAGGATAGTGGTTGCAATGTGGAAGATGAAGACTGACTTGAGAATAAGTCTATCTAGTGAAGTCAAGGGAATAATCTGAGTGGCGTTAGGACAACAACCTGGTCCTTAACACCTCTAAAACCAAGGAGTTGACGATTGACTGCAGGAGAACAAAGAAGGAAGTCCACCATATGTGTGGAAAACTTCAAGTTTCCTGAAGTCAATATGTCAAAACATCTTACAAGGACCTCCAACACATCACACCGGGTTAAAAAGGCCCAGCAAAGACTCTACTTCCTCGAGAAACTAAAACAAGCCGGCCACGGAAACTTTGTGAAGAAACAAGGGGATGAGTTGTAACTTGCTCACTCTGCCCTTTACCTCCACACTACATTACATTCCTGTTAAGAGGTAGATATTGAACCCTACTGGAGCTGTTTTCACTACTCTCCAGCTGCCAGCTGTCATACATTCCATGCATTCCTTTTCACAAGCTTCACATACAGATACAGCATTCCCTGGTGGTCTAGTGGCTAGGATTCGGCGCTCTCACCGCCGCGGCCCGGGTTTGATTCCCTGTCAGGGAACACTCTTTACTTACTGAATATCACGGCCGTTTCATTAAAAACAACTCCCACATAAAACTATACATTGTGCGGACATTGTGCGGACATTGTGCCCACATACCGTGTGGTTCCATGGTGTAATGGTTAGCACTTTGGAATCTGAATCCAGCGATCCGAGTTCAAATCTCGGTGCAACCGTACTTTGAGTAGGTACGTGCTTACTCAACAGACAATCATCAGTGCCTCAGACACAATGAACATAAAAGGCAAAACTCCTGCAATTGTATTTTTTAAG